GTGGTTAAGAAATAAGGAATGGTGGTCGGGCTAGGTCTAAATTTTGTTCAAAGTCCGTGAGGACTATTTCCCGTTAAAACAATTTACTCTAAATATTACCTAAATTTTAAGAAACTAGATTATAAAAATATAAAAACTGGGTCGGGCAAAATATTTTTTTAAATATCCGCCGGGTTTCGAAATAACAAAAATAAATTAAATCCTGACCTGATCTAAAAATTTGACTTCTACAGGTCTATAATTTATTTTATTTTACTTCGAAAAGTAACTTTTAAATTAATATTATCCTGAATAACAAATTGATGTAATCTGGTTTTAATAATTGGGGAAATTATTTTAATTTGTAAAAAATTTCTACAAATTTTTACCTTGATTTACACTTTAAAAATAGGTTGAAGCCCGGCCATATCGGGGAGGGGGGATTTAATAAGAATAATAAATTCAAGTTTATGTCAATTGATGAGTTGAAAAATGTTGGAAAATAATATAATAGAACTTTTAATATTATTAATTTATATTTAAAACGAAGCCAAAATTATTTTTTTTAAAAAAATACCGTAACCGGATTTGAAAATGACTTTGATATAAAATAAATTTTAGATTTACTTTCACTTTAAATGGATTTATAAAATACTCGTTCATTCTTGAACTTTCTAAATATTTTTTTTACCACTGACTTTCTATTTTATATATGAAAATTTTTAGTAGACATAGTTGAAGCCAAGAACATGTTAGAACAGACAAATTAACTTAGTTATAGATGTTATTTAAATGTTGGGATTTATAAGATAGAGTTTATTTTCAAAATCTTAAGCCTGTGCCTTTTATTCAATATAGTGTTGTTAAACGGCTCTATATGAGCCGATTATTAAAAAAGGTAACTCAATATTTTAGCCAGAAAAATATTCCCTAGACCTCGAGATTTTGATAATATATGTCTAGACTATTGTTCCTTCTAGGAACAAAATAATCAGGCTCGCGTAATATTTTTCTGCGTAATGAGTTAGTCGTTTTTGAAAATCGGCTCAAAACGAGCCGTTTAACAACACTAATTAAATAAAACAAAAAATGATACCAAATAGAACTAAATATTATATTGGATCGATTGAGGGCTTATAAAATAATTAGTATAAATAAAAGGGGAGTATCCTTATTAACATAAATTATACATTTTATAACTATATTATTACTTATTATACTATTATTGATCAATGTCATCACTTTGTAATAAATATGTTGGGAAGTTATATGATATAATTAATAATGGTTTGTTTAGTAAAGTTATTCAAATAAATTGACAATCTAAATGAGGAGAGGGAAATAGATTCGAATATAGATATTTAAATTATGAGAATTACAAGCCAAAAATGAGGTCAGATATTCCTATTAGTTGTGATAAATGTTTGGTGCTATTTTAAATTTCATATATAGGCTATCTCTGACGATGATAATTTAATACTTTCCATACCTCTATCGTCTAACATAACATCGAGATCGAAGGTCCCAAGTCAAAATCCAGAAAATGCCTTCATTTTAAATAGGAAATGCATGAAGATTTTGAATGTTACAGCTAGAGATGCCTGATGATTTTGACCTTCACAGCTATAAATTCGCTATCCTTAGAATGAGATTGGCGTTGATTAATTCTTTGATAATTTAGATTCCTATAGAATCATTCCTTGATGAGGGAAAATACATAAGGGGGGGGGGGGCAAGGCGTGGTAATTCCACCCCCAATTGAAAAGGATGTATTCAAGAATTTAAAACTACTAATTTTTATTGAACATTTATCACAACTGTTAAGAAACCAAAGTTATTCATTATGGAATCTTCATTTAATATATTTAGTATTATGGTGATTAGGAAAGATACTTCTTTTCAAAAGATAAGTATAAGTTTTAGAAATATGTAAAGCTCGGCCCTTCCGGGAAAATTTTTAAAAAACTAAACGGGCAGTGCCGGACTGGAATTTTTTTTTTTTAAATTGTTCATAAAAAAATTTGGGCCGTGTTGCGTGATAACGGTTGAGAGATAAATAAATTTTTAAACGTGGTTATGGAATTGGTAGTTTTATGATAAAATTTGCAATTTATTTAAATCTTTTGATGCAATATTTAGAGAAAACTGCTTTTTTTTTATAAAAGGTGTCATTATAAATAAATAAAAAAGGACTCTATCGCACTAAGATTAAATTTGCCGAGTATGGGAATTAGGATGCTTAGGCGCTTTTTTTTACAAATGCAATGAGGATTCAGTTCATAAAATTAATTATCTTTATAATGTCTGTATAGCTTAAAAAATTTTTTAAATAATATCTTTACCAAATACAAAGTGTGCGTCAATTAAAGTTTTAAATTTTTAACGATTGCTAAGTGTAGGAATGGGGAGTCGCTGAAATTTATTATAACTAACAATAATTAGGGAAAAGGGACAAATATTGTTTGGTCTAATATGAGGCGTCCTAGATTAATATAGCCATTTCAGGCGCTGAGGCGTAAATAAATTACGATATTTGTTTGGTTGGGAGTTTGGATGGAAATTAATTTTGATGTTTTCGAATATAGCATCAAATTATCATAGTTACAACAAAATAAGATAAATTGGCGAGTATTTTCTTTCTCTCATCTAAATGATCAAAAATATGATCTATTTTTTCAATAGCTTTTAATATAGCATGCATAATAGATTTTTTGAGTTTAATATAATAAATTCTCGGTAACCTGAAATATACTAGAGATCTGCACAGACCTATCCGAGTTCGACCCGATTGCTGACATTTTCTTGGATTTGATTGGGCAGAACCTAAATCTTACATATTTTATTCGAGCCGGGTGTCAATCTAGGAATTTTTCTCTCAATGCTTTTTATAATAAATATTTAAAAAAATGATCCATTTTTTTCTATATTTTTTTTTTCAAACTCAGACTTATTTTTGATGAATATCGGATTAGACGTTCAAGGAAGTAGGCAAATTGGTTTGACAAATTTTTTTTTCTCGAATCAGGCTGGGCTTAAAAAAATAAATATGAAGCAGGGCTCAAATAATGGGATGAGCAAGGATCCCATCAGAAAAAATAATAAGGCTGGAGATTGCGACACGAAATAAAATAAAATTAAACACTAAACTGGGGTAAGACATAGAATTATAGTTTTTAACATTTAGTTGAGTTTATATTAAATTCTTAATATTTTCGAATATGTATTAATTTTTTTTTTCAACGAGTGCTGCTCGCTCCTTTTATCAATCTACTCAAATAATAAAAAAAAAATTTAGTCGCGTTCAAATTATATTAAGATTGCAGGAAACTATCTCTTCTTCGGGTTTCAATTAAATTTTGATAGGATGGCAAATTAATAATTATTTCGTCACAAACGGTTAGGAGCGAGGAAAACTTTTTCATCTGATATTATCTATTTCAGTTTTGAATCATAGCAGATCAAAAGCTATGTAGTCCCCCCCCCACCCTCAGAGATAATTAAGTAATGTAATTTAATTACAAAGTTATAGGGTCCTGAGCAGACCTTCTTAAATATTAGATCTTATTGTAAAGAAAAATAAATAATTTATTTAGATTAAATCAATTTTAAAAAGATATATAAAAGATAACAAAAACTATATAAATAAGAATTGTATTGTTTTAGTAATCTCTATATACATTGTAAATTGTACATTAAATAATATATATTAATATTAGTATAAAACATAAAATAATAAATAGTTTAAATTTAAATTTTAGATATCTTATTTATGATTATTTATAGTCCATTAGTCTGCCGGAGTCCTCAATCAATATCATATTATTTATGATGGATTATTTAATAAAGAAATCAGCTAGAAAACCGAATGTAACCTAATAAAGTATCAGGTGCATACGCAAATGTTAACGTTACTCGTTTGTTCTACCTAATTAAGCATGGTAGAAAATTAAATTTTTTAAATGTAATAAGCGTTCTCAGAAGACGCTTTTGGAAGAAATTTTTTATCAAAACTAAACATAAGTGTTCTAAAAAGAACTTTACCTTGCAACGCTACTTACATAAATACTTTGTTTAAAACACTAAAAAAATAAACTCAAAAAAAATTACCCTCAATTTACAAATTATTTTTTTACCGAGCTTAAATTTAAAATTTTGTTTAAACTAATGATGTTAAAAACTCCAATTTAATTTACCTAAATCTCGAAATTTTTTTAAAAAAAGGATTAACTTTTCTACCATCTTTGGCAAATCATGAAGCTTAGGTAGTATTTTTTTTGATAAAAATCTTGAATTAACGTTTTTTAAAAATAGGCAAAATTGAGATTTTTAAAATACATGAATCTAATCTTAACTGGAGCCCTGGAAATTAAAATTTTTTTGGGTCAAGTCCCGTCCAAAATTTGCATTTTTAAACCCCATGTATGACCTGAATTTTTATTTTAGACCAGGATCTGACCTAAATTTTTATCCTATGCCAGCTCCAGGTCCATAATTTTAATTAAAAAATATAAATAAAGAGCATTTTTATGAAGTAAAAATCACGAATTGCTTTGTTCTTATCATAAATAAGTTCATATAATTATTTTCGATCCCGACCCAGTTCAAATAATTTTAAAATTTTTAGGTCTGAGACCGGCTTCGGGCCGAGTTTTAGATTGGCTTGGAGGGCACCATTGTCAAAACTTTGATTTAGACGCTTTTCAGCTAAATCAAGATTTTAATTAAAAAAAATTATATTACCTTAGCCTCAAGATTTTCTCAAAAGAGGGCTAAACCTTTCTTTGCCATCTATATGCAAAATCTCGAGACTTAAGTAGTCTCTTATTTGCTAAAAATCTTGATCTAGTCAATTTTTTAGCCTAAATTGATGGTTTCGAAAATAAAATCTAAATGAAATATTTTTTATCATATATTTGGACTGCCAAGAAAAATACCAAAAATGTTTTAGAAAGAAATCCAAATTCATACCATTTTATTAAGAAAAAAAAAATTTGTTTAAAATTTAAAAAAAAAATTAATACCCAAGATTTTGCTGAGATCGGCATTGTGCAAGTCGGGATTCGCATCGGCCAATACTCGTCGCTCAGTCTTAGCCCATACCATAAAAGCATTCATTGGTCTGCGAATTCTAGTTTCCTTGCTACTACTGATACTAGCTGTGACAGCATGATTATTCGCATTATTGCTAGCAAACGAGGGTCTTGCAATATTATTTAACTTTTTGTTTTTGTCATTGACATGATGAAAAGTATTTTTGCTCCAGTTTGAATGGTTATTGGTTTTGATTTTATCTTCTTCTATGTTATAATAGTTTGCTGTGGCGTGATTGGCGAAATGAACATCGACCAACTTCGACGTGTCTTCCACTCTATTATTCTTGCTATTATCCAAAGTAGAGGAGACTGGCTCATAATCATAGCCATTAAAGTAATTAAAAAGACCCTTATTGAGTTGATCACCTGTGAATGAATCAGATGAGTTTAAGGAAATTATCAGCGGTTTCGATATAAGCTGATTTTCGAAAGTGCAAAATTGAGATGTCATTATCCAAAAATGGAAACTTTTAAAGAAACTGACGATGACCTCAAAATAAAAGATGATACAAGAAGGAATTTGAAGATGGAAGTTGATAGGAAATTATCTTTTATTTTGTGAGGATATTTTTTGTTTTTTTTATACAAATAGGGTAGATATTTTTTTTAATTATAGCATTTAATTTGAATTTATAAAGTTTAAAGTTTAAAATTTATTAAATAAAAATTAGAAATAAATTTTTGTGATTGATATATACTTATTTTATATTTCAATTTTTAGTGGCATTTTATGGAAAAAAATATGTTGTACTTAATAAGAACATAAATATTTAAATAAATTTATTTACTCAAAAAATAAAAAAAAAATTAAAAATTAAAACAAGATTAATGTTGTTTAAATTTTTTTTTTTTAAAAAAAAAAAAATCTCAAAAATATAATTATAAAATTTTTTTTAACAAAAAATAATAATTTTTTACGAAGTGAAAATTTTTTTATTCCCATCTGTGAGAAAAAAGTGAAACTGAAACTATAATTTGATTTTTCAAAAAATTTAAGAGTGGAGGAATCCAGGGGTAGCAATTCATTTAGTAATAAGAAAACTGTATGATGGTTCTGTTTCGATGGTTCTGTTTCTGATATGTTTTTTCAAAGATTTTGAAATTTTGAAATAAATTGCCAAATATGATAATTTCGCATGCACACTTCCTTTGAAGGTCAATTTAGATAACAATTTTTGTTTTAAAAATTTATTTTAAGTAGTTAGATATAATTTAAATCTAAGAGAATAATACCATATTCTTTTATCATCGATATCTTTTATGCCCTCTTATTTCCAGCACCACCACTATACTTCTCCATTAAACAAAACGATGGGGGTGGGGGGTCATTTGAGTGGGGTAAAGATATTTTAATTTGCAAAATTCTGCTTTATTAGCCTAATAAAACTAACATAAAATGTGCGACACCCCTCTTCAAACTCTCTTCTTTTCGTATATTATTTTCCCGAACCCCCCGCCCCCCCCCCTATCCAGTCTCTACATAATTGTATCAACATGTCAAAGCAATAATTTAAAAGCAAAATTTGTTGATAAATTTTTTAAAATTATGACTATAATTCAAAATTTTCAGAAAACCAATATTTTTCATAAACAGTTATAAAACCCCCACAAAAAAAATTAAATAGTAAGATGAAAGTTTGATGAAGGCTGGATTTTATGTTATTTTTTCAATTTAATTAATTTATTTAAAGCGTGTTTTTTTTAATTAAAAAAAACAGATTTTGCCGGAAATGCATTTCAATTTCTACAATGCCGTCTCTAGACGCTCTGCACTTTAGCAAAAATTTAATTTCCACCTCTTATAAGACTCTAGAAATATTTTTTTAGTTATAATTAAGTTCCTGTTCGAAAACTTGAAATGCATAAAATCGAAAAAGATTTCATATTCTCGAAAATAATATTGATATATTATAGGAAAGGAATAATTGTTATTTTTTAAAAATATCTCTAAAAATAGAGATTGTTTAGATAATCTTAATCCTAATAAATATTCTTGATTTCAAACGAATTTTAAAAAAAACTCAATTGAAATATAAAATTTTACCTTTTCTAACATCTATCAAAATCCTTATCAATATTATTTTCGAAATTTCTACAAAATATAAATAATGTTCCCGATTTTTGGCCTTTTTTGGATTTTATGTTTTCAATCTCATATGGCACAAGTAGTGTTGCTAAAAAGGTTCGACTAAGATTTTAGCCAAAATAATATTATGTAATCCTAGAGATTTTGTTCATAGATGGCAGACAGGTTTGGACCTCTATTTGCAAACTCGAGGCTTATATAATATCAATTTAATTAAATCTTAATTGGACCGTATTTAAAAATAGGATAGTTTAACAACACAAGGCACAATTCATTTTATCAAAAAAAAATAATTTTTACTTATTCTATTCCAAATTTATAAATTTTCTTAACTTACATATATATTTTTTATAAATATCTTTTTTGTGTCACCGCAATTTTTGTGTTATTTTTTGCCATCTATAGGCAATATCTAACTAGGGTAAGGCGTGGGGGCAGCATTGTATTTATAAAATACCTACCATAAAGATTTCAAATAAATTTATAATGAACTTTTAGAGAAATCCTAATTTATATTAATTTCTTCCCAAAATATCTTTCAATATAAATTAATATTTCTCCAAAGTTTAGTTACTGAATTAAGTTGTTTAAAATTTATTAACAATTCACCTAATTGGAAATCTGAAAATATTATAAAATCTCAATTAAATTATTAATATTTTTTACAATTATACAAATATCTTATATGATTTTAAACAATACACTGAGCTCGGTTGAACCCTGGTTCAAATAATATTCCGGGTTTGGTTCAGGGTTTTGAAATTTTCTTAAACGGGGTTCAGGTTCGGTTCAGATTTTTTTCCCCAAAACTCGGATTTTCTTCACCGGGTTCGGTTCGAATCCCTGAAGTGGTAAAATATTTCTCGTCTTTATGTCCCTGGGTGTTTGTTTTTAGGACAATTCTGTCCGGGTTTTTAATTCCTTTTCACATAAATGTATGCCTCATCCCTCTCTCAAGGTCCGTGAAGTTGCCCCCCCCCCCCCGACTTTTAAATTTTCAATGATTTATCAGGATAAAAATTAATTTGAAGCATCATAAGGAAGAGAAAAAGATTCTCTATCTTTGTACGCTAAGAATTTTTTTTTGTCTATGCAAGCAATGAATGTGCTGAAAAGGAAAAAAATATTATTAATTATTAACGACCAAATATTTAATACATCATTTTTTATCAGGTTTTGCTACAAAAAAAAAGATTTTGATTTATAGTGAAACTAAAATGGTTTAATTTTCAATAAAAATGAAATAAAATGTCTAGAAAAAAAAGTTTAATTTCCAAACTCAATCATATTCAAAATAAAGTGAAAGCCTGGGTGGCAAGGGTATACCGTAAAAATTTTGGGACTCCTCGAAAAAAAATAAAAAAATTTATGAGGCTATTCTTCATAATTTAAGGCTTGGTAAAAGTTTTAAATCCACTCCCCGCGTTGCAGGGGTGGCAGGGATTTCTGTTGCGGCTCTTTTAGGTATGAGGTTACTGATTAATGGTTATGCTTCATTGAAAGAGAGTCAATATCATTTTGATAAGAACTTAATATAATTTTGATAATTGGACAGACAAAGGGCAAAATAGGATGGTTGCGATTACTATGAGGAGTCTTCTTAGATGTTTAACCGCAAACATAATATTTTGGTAAGCAGTTAGTAGATTTTGAGCTACAGTGGCGTAACAATTTTTCTGAGCACTCCTACAAAATTTTTCTTTGGTGTTATTTTATTTTTATTGCATATATCAATAACATTAAATATGTTTTTGTATTATATATTTTCACTTATTTAATAAATATTTATAAAAATCTTGCCATAAAAAGATTTGAAATTAAATAGTGCGCTATAATTTTGCTTTTATAGATTCCACTGATATTCTATTCCTCTCATTTGTCCATTGACTATTGATTAAAGGAAATATTCCTTCAACATTAGCATTATGAGCTGGTATAGCAAAAATAAAGCTTGCTATAATTATCAGTTCACTGTGTTGCTCAAAAATTGGAAAAGAAATATTAAACCCATTTCTGGTGGAGAAAAAGTTTTATATACTTTCACATTTTATTTTAGCGGTAATAAATAATTTAAAGTTGCAGAATTGATCAAATTACTTTGATTCATTTAACTAAATATTTTTATTTTTCAAGAAATTGATAGAGTTCTCCCACTTTGGAACATTTTTTGGATTTTTTACCCCATTTTAATATTTGACTCAAATATTGATTTTACTTTTAATCGGAAAAATTTTTATTTTTTCTTTCAGCTAACAAATATTTTAATGAGTATCTATATCTGCGTCAAAATTTATTTTAGATGATGCAATTGTATATAGATCCATTGGAAAAATATCTTTTAATAAGTATGCTATATGAATAGATGGTTTATATATTTTTCCGAATAAAAATTTTATTAATTCGCAGTTTTGTGTTTGAGAAGGCGTAGGTTTAAAATTTAAAAATATGCCATATTTTGAAATAAAGATTTAATTTTTGATAAATTATAAAATTTTTAAATGTTTTCAAAAACGAGAAAAAGATTAAAATTTTGTAATAAATGATTAATGTAGAAATGAACAGTTACATTGACGAGAACATATTGAATTCTTACGAATAATTGCGAATAACACAAATACGAATAATTTCTAATATTTTCGAATAATCTTGAATATTATAATTTGGAATATTTTTGAAAATTTCGAGTAATTAAAGATAAACTACTAATAATTCGATGGAATATAAATGGTGGCGACTATTCTATGATTTTTTCCCCATCATACTGAATTTTCGAAATGATTATTTATAAAGTATACCAGAGCGAAAAATTATTCTTAAACCCTAAATACTAAATATGTTTATTTTTAAAAGCAATTTGAGCCTCAGATTCCTCAGTATACATTCCTTTATAGGTTGGTGGCTTGACAAATTGGAATGGGATTATGATAGGGCAAAGCATTTCTGGATTTTTATAATTTTATTCCTTTAAATTATAAAAATTTTCAAATCTTAAAAACTCTAAACATAAAACATTCGAGCCAGAGTTGAGCCACCTAAAAATAAAATAATAAAATGGGTTCAGGGTTCTAACTTCCACCAGAATCTAAATAAAAAGGAAGTTAATTGTAATTAAAAAATTAAGGAATTCTACATAAATAAGTTCATTTCATTTACAGCCATACATTTATAATTTATCATCTACTATTTTTATTAATTCATATTTTAAATTTGAATTAGGCGTATTTATTGCCTTAGTCAAATAGTGCAATATTAAAATTGTGCAAAATAATTTAAAGGATAGGTATTCTACAGTGTATTTCCGGAAAAATTAGAAAATTTAAATTTAAAAACATGCTAAATAAATGATTTAAAGTTGGCAAACAGCACATTCATTTGTTTAAAAAGTTTTAATAATCTCATTCTGCCAAAAATATTTTCCGGTATGTGTAACATATGATATAATAAACTTCTGAATCATTTTTTCATTTATACACTCCCATACGAGAATTGACTCTAAGATCTAAATCGATTAGAAAATTGGCCACGGAAGATTAACACTCGGAAAAATTTAGCTCCAGGAAGATCGACTTCCCCAGGAATAATGCCCACTACTGCAAAGGCACCTGTTATACTAGCCTTCAAAAAGTTTAAACTCAATCCGCCCTCCCCTTTCAAAAAAATA